TGGGAGCTTAAAGCTTAGGTTAAGCTTGCTAGTGAAACAGAAAGGTGAGACATTGCTCTTTCTGATTAGTTTCCTCCACTTCAATAAGACACATTTTTCCATATAAACACACAGTTTAGACAAATCTTTAGTCTAAAAAATGTTCCCTCTCAAGTTCCCAGAGCCCAAGATGACATCTTTAAATTGCTTGATTTGTCTTACTGAGAATTCCCAAACCCAGTGATACAAAATAGAGGAAAGTAGCAAATTTCCCATTTGAAAGGCAAGAAACACAGTGTTTGGATTCGTTCTTGACCAAACAATTAGCCAGTTATCAAAAATTGTTGTCAGTTAAGGACTAATGCTGTCAGCACAAATACACAGTAAGGGCTGGAACATGTATCTCCAGAATCCATATATAAGCACACATACACTGGTGTTCTGAGTCCTTTAGATTTAAAGTGAGTGTGTTTGGTTATTTTATTTAACCCCCCTAGGGACTGCGACCTACAGCAACACCCTTCTCTGCGTGGTTCACATATATCTTTTACAGAACTATAATTCCAGTTTAGGACGCCTGCATGCACATGGACGCTCTGGTGCCAGAATGACTCCGTTTGATTAATCCTGAGATTAGATACGTTGTTGGTCAGCTCGGTTATGGCTGGCTTTGGCTGCATGACGTCCACCAGGTGCAGGATGGATGGAGGTTTAGACCTCATCTAATATAGTATAAATGAAAATGAATGGCTTTTGAGATGATGAGGCCCTGTGCAGAGATCCCTGAAGGATCCCTAACAGCCACCACATCATGCCATTGTCCTGATTAGAGTTTCTTTGTTAGGAATTTAGAAAGTGAATTCAGTTTTTTCAGGACTTTTGATTGGAATTAGCCACTTAACACAAAGGCCGTAGGTTGTGGCCTCCTAGAAACTAGGGCCCTAGGCCTGTTCCTTGTAGACTTGTTTTATAATGAGTACAAGACAGATTATTTATGTAGTAATGCATCTTGTTATCTTCAGAAAGCATTCACTCATATTTGCATACAAAGCCCAAAATAAGACACGCAGCTCCCTCCATGATGGTTTTGTTCTGAGCAATTTTTGCCATTTTAACCCAATTATTTCCCTAAAGCTGTGACCTCCTTCCTGATCAGCTACATGCATCTTCCCTTCATTACACAGCTGAGGGAGAAACATGGAAGGAAATAGGACCCACTGTCCCCTCCCTTCCCCTGGCTCCCCTCCCTTCCCCTCCCTATTCTCTACTTTCCATTCAACTACCTCCACCACCACCACCATCCCCGCAGCTCCGCTATGAATTCAGGGAAATAATCTGGCCCACAGTGACACCATTAAATGTTTCTGCGCCCTCTAAAAACTCAATACCAAAAAAAAAAAAAAAAATCGAAGCTAGTTTAAAGAGAGAGCTTGAAAAAAACAACAACAACAACCCCAGCCGGGTGCTGAGCGTTACAGCGGATGCAGGGAAGCATTTGCCCCAGCAGTTGGTGTGCAGTGATACCCGGCTACCAGACACACCGCCTAACAAAGACCACCGGCGTGAAATCTCAACTGTCATGCATACCGCGGACAAAGAATGGCAGACCGAGAGTGAGTCTGCAACACACATGAATATTGAAGGTTAAGTGGTGGCTCGGTTTCAGCACTTGTCGCAAAGATGCTGCAAAAAAAATCTAAAAATGTTTCAGCCTCACCACAGTGTCGGTGGCCTCATTGATTTATCGACCCCCAGTGCGCGTTTGCTGTCCGCGAAAGCAGGGTGGCTTTTATTTATTATTATTATTATTTTTTTTTTTTTACAATAAAACCGACATGCATCTGCAAAATGCATTTAAGAAAAGCGACTCGTGCAGCTTCGCGAGCTCAGATTCTTAGAGGAGCGCAGCGGAGGCGCATGCAGGGACCATGCCGCCCCGGTGACATCCTGCACCCACACCCGCAGCCAGGCCCACACCGACCAGGACCACCGGACGCCAGACTGGATATAATCTGAGCTACTTCAACATTAAAAAAAAACACCCCGACACTCACTGTGATGCGGGGGATGTTCTTCTTGCCCTGGTAGCCAGACATATTCACCGGTGGTTCGTCTTGCGCTGCGCCGTGGACCGCAATCAATGCAACGGGATGTACGGATTACTGCCGCTCGCCGGGCTGAAACGAGGATGATGAGGAGGAGGAGGAGGAACAAGAAGAAGAAGAAGAAGAAGAAGAAGAAGAAGAAGTCGGGATGGTCGCAGTTGCTCCTTGGGAGGCCACAAACCGTAAAAGACTCAAACTATCTCTCAACTCCGGATCGCGTCCTGGCAGCCTCCTGGGTCTCCGCCGATGCACCAAACCTTTCCTTCCCAGACGGAGTCAGACAAGAGGGGAGGGAGGGACCACTCGCGAGCCTCTTCCCCATAAAAGAACCCCACGGAGCATGCGCAGAGCCTCGCCCTGCTCCATTGACAGGAGAGAGCCACTAATGCCATCAATTGCTCTCCTTCCTTGGATTAGTGAAGGAGGCAGAGAGTGCACCAAGTGAACAAGTGGAGAAACACCCAGCAGCCATCTTAACTCCACTTCATCTGATCAAAAGCTGAATTTTATAAGAGAATGATCTCAGCCAGTGCACAAACAGGATCATTTCCAGATCTATTTCCAGCTCCAATCAACTTGTTTTGACAATTTTGTGAATAAAACAGTCACAACATAGTTTAATGAAGACTAAAAACAAGAAGGGACACTTGTGGGGATCAGGGAGAGCGGCACAGAGGGGACACGGGTTGATCTTTTCTACTGCTTGAAGAAAATTTATATTTTAACAAACATAATATCAATTAAAAACGGACTTGCATTGTTGTAAATTATTTTCCACACACAGTTTATTTTTATTAGCAAACACATATTACTGACAGCGGCACACACTGATGATGTCATAAGGCTGCGACTATGGTGGCCTGCAGTCACTCATCATGGTTGACTTCAGAGTAAATGAGATGCAGTATCCTTCCTAGCTGAATGGCTCCAATTGCATGTTATGGACAACAACTATTTTTTTATTTAAAGGGCCAGTGTGTAGGATTTAGTGGCATCTAGCAGGGCTCACCCTCCCCTTCCAAGTGCAAAAGAAAAACTATGGTACCTGCAAAACGCATGAAACACAAGTGCACCCTGTCTTTTGGTCGTTTTCCTTCTGGGCAGCTGTAGAAACACTGCAATTCAACATGGCAGCCTCCATGGAAAGCAACCCTTGACGTAAGAAAACATGGTGTAAAATAAAAACGCTCATTCTAGACTAATGAGAACATACCTATAAATATTATATTACATTCCTGCCAATAGGTCCTCCTAAATGTTACACACTGGACCTTTAAACAATGTCAGTATATATATACAGAGCAGTACAGGTATTACAAGTATGCAAATATTAGCTAACCACCAGAAGAATGTGTTGTTTCTTTAAGGGCCTTCCTTTAAAAATGCTGCACCGGCGTGTGGGATTGTTATATGAAGTTTAACCTGTATCTAAGATATAAAGATGTGCAGTCTGCCGGTGATGGAATAGGGTATTTTACTTAGATAAAACTGTATTCAGTTGGTTGCGATCGGCTACATCTCTGCTAGATGCCACTAAATCCTACACACTGGTCCTTTAAAGTACCAGAAGTAAAAGTACTCATTATGCAGAATGGTCCAATTTCAAAATAATGTATATTGTATTATTGGATATAGAGTATCTTATTATATTATTATTTGATCACTTTGCAGCTGGTAAAGGTGGGGCCTATTTTTATTTATTTATACACTGCTGGGTAGCTTGTGTCCCCCCCCCCAAGGATCAATAAAGTCTTATCTTATTCTATAAGATTACATCATAAATATATTTTCTATTATTAATCTGAATCTGTAAAGTAATTAGTAACTACCAAATACATTTAGAGCAGAAAATGCAAATAGAAATGTACTTTCTACCACTGCAGTCTGCTTATGTCACATTTCTTATCAGGCAGGGTCCTCAGATGCAGGCTAGCTTTTAAACATCCCATAAATGAAATTCTTATAATATTAATATGCAGGAGCAAATTAAACATGTCCAATGTATATTATTTTATCTCAGAAGAGGGGGGCAAGCTACTATACATGTAAGAATGAAATCGGTAAGAGAATTAGATAGAAGAGAGTAAAGAGCTGATTGTGTGGCTAATGCCTCCAATCAATATGTAACATGATACCATGATACACCACACCACCACCCAAAGCTTTTAACAGCATCCTGAGTGCTTAAATATTAAGTAAAGGAAGCACTGATACTGTTCGTGCCACAGTTGACCACCCAGCTGTAAAACCTGGATAGTGAGTTTGAAGCAGCAGCAGAAAAGTTGATAGATTTTTTTCCTGCAAGTCATGCAAGTCAGAGCTGCCATCCCTACGGCTCCACACCCTTCACTCTGCTGTTAGAGAACCTGAATGCACCACAGCAACATAATGCTGCAACCATGCACCACATCACCCAGAGCTGTGTGTTCACATGTATGTGTCCCATCTAACCAATCTTGTTATTCATTGTCCTCATTCAGACGTTGTTTGTGTTTACAGCCATGCTTAAGGACACTTCAGCAGCCCATGAACACACACTCTATGGGGTTGTATTGTCACCCAACCAGCTGCACAGTGCAGCAGGGATCAGATCAACAGTCATGTAAGCTGGAACCAACAGGAGCCACTCCCTCTGGCAGCTCTGCATGGTGGGCCCTCTGTCTGTTACATCACAGTGCTTTCTGGGAAATGTAGTCAGGGCAAGTTGTCTGGCATACATTGGCTAAAAGCTTAAATAAACTCGGATGAGTGGCAGAGGCTGTAATTGGAACACTTTTAGATGAGAATGGCGCAGGTTTGTACAAAGATCCGAATGTTGGATGGCAGAAATTAGAGCCGGAGAGAAAGAAAGATAAAAAAAAGAGACTTAATGGAACGAAAACATGCACAATAAGCATGCAAAATGCAGAAATTTACCCTTTTATCATCCAGATTCTGTAGAGCTTCCTTCCCTGTGCTCTCCCTTATCTCCACCTTCCTCGGCTGGGAGATGTCGGTCTGCCGGTCAATGACTCGCCCGTCACTCTTGCCCCTGCACATCGAGAGCGCATCAAAGTCGAGCGTCTTGCTGTCCGAGGAGCCTTCCACCGGGCAGAACATGCCACAGAATTTCTGCCTCGGCCTGGCGGGGCTGTCAGAGCCCATACTCTTGAAGAAGGCTGGCACTTCCCCGGCGGTCGACATGCCTTCCAGGCGTGGGGGGGTGCTGCGAGGGTTTTTCGGGGAGAAGCTGCACAGATGCTCAGAGTCTTAGCTCCTTGTATGTTTTTTTTTTTTTCAGCTCCGCACGCCTGGACAGCCACCGCCTTCGCCGGGGTTTTCAAGCGCAGGTGGTCGCACTGTGACAAAAGCGCAAAAAATAAAAAAAAATCTGTAAGGCTAATGGTGCATGAAAACACTCCCACTGTAGAGAGAGATGAATCCACGTAATATTATCTGATATTAGGCACAAATACGAGAGAATCTCTCCTAGTCTATGATCCTCCTACAGATCAGCAAACAGTTTTGAATTGCTTACTCATGAGTCTAAATTAGCTTCTAGACTGCAGCCGATTTCCCGAGTTATAAGTCAGCATATGAGGGGAGAGAGCTAACAGTCTAGCTTTGTCAAAATAGAGACCCAATGGGCTACAGGAGGAGGAGGATTACCTGTAGCCTGTGTGAACCAGTCCAGAGACTGGCGGTGGCAGGAGCGCAAAAGATGTGACTCTCCGGAAATGATCGGTCCTTTCTTGTCCAAAGCAAAGACTTGATGCTCTATCCATCAGGGGTACTCTGACCTGCCTGACAGTGAGCCTAAAAGCCGTGTAATCTAATAATCAAGACCATGTCAAGCAGCTGTGTCTGTCTCTGAGGGGCGTTTCTGGCACAAAGTTTGAGGTCAAGGAGCGATCAGCACCATGGAGAGTTCCCTCAAAGTCACACCCAGTCCAACAATGAAGGGCGCTGTCCATTCAGCACCACACCCTGCCTCCCACACACATACCTCTACATATTTTTAGGTTTGTTTGACTGACATAGAGTGTCAGCTGCATGTCTCACTGGCAGCTTTCACTTGGCACATACCAACTCAGACTAGGACGTTCAATGTTACACAGTGGAAAAGGACGGTGAGGATTCTGTTTTGTAAAACTAATAATGAGTTATATATGCTTAACTTATTTTATTTCATCATTTGTTTATTCATTTATTAAAGTAGTTTGTAGTCTATTTCTACCACTTCTAAAAAGCCATCACTCTGCAGTTACAATCTCAATGACATTACACACTCAAGACTAAATAAGAAGCAATCAAAGTTCTTGTTATCTATAAAGAGTTTAACACTTAAATACTCAGCTACACTGCTGAGTAATCAGGTTTTGATTCAAATGTTACTAAATTCTGATTGGTTGGTGGTTGCACCGCACTGCATGACATCACATTTTTCCAACTGTGCCACGCCCACTTGAAACCAGTGAAAGAAATATCTCAATACCCAAATAACTAAAACTGCTCTAACATTTGAAGAAATGTGTGTGTTCATGACGGACCACGTCACTCAAAGAAGAATGTGATTGTTAAAATAATATTCAGGGCCTTTAATAAAGGGTAATGATGGGTTTCTCACTTTCTAATTAGCTACCAGTCCAGATGCTCTAAAGCCCTTTCCCTAAAGGTAAGTGGTCAAATGGCCCATTGACTGATGAGACAAAGCAAGTTACCCTGGAGGAGGAAACAAAGCAGATTTTTCACAACCTGAAAACCATAGATTTTTTCTTACAACAACTCTAGAAAAAGTTAAAAAATTGAAATTATTCATTAAAAATTAATAAAGCCATTAGGCACAACCCTTTATAAAAAAAGATGCCTTGTTACAAAGTGGCACTGTGGATTTTAATTTACAACATATCTGATGTTTCCTACTCACAAATAACACAGTTAATATGAACAGTATCAGATCGCCTTCCTGTAAGCTATAATGATGCTGTATTGATTGACATTGGGAAGCTCAGATGTCTCAGCAGCCACATAGCACACATGTCGTAAAGGACAGAGAAATTGCTGAATCATAAACGCATTATTTCTAATGACATGTGAGTATAATGGACAGAAAACAGAGTGAAGAATGATAGTGATAGTGATAGGTGAGCAGTGTTTTAACATGGGAACATGGGGTTTGAAAGACAAAAGTACCAGGTAGAGATAGTCAAATTAAATGATGCTATAAGTTGCATTTTAGGAAATGTAGGATCCAGAGTTTCTGCCATAAAGGGACTAAAATGCATGATATCTCACCTTCTGCTGGTTTTATTTTGACCATTCCTTTTTTTAAATGTGTCTCTTGTGACTCTCCCAACTTCATGGCTGCGGTACTCCTTTAAATCAACCCCGCCTGTGGTAGTCAACATAGATCTACTGTAGGTACCAGGTAAAATGTTTTGCCTAGAAACCTCTGTTCATAAAACCTTCCTCTAGAGTGGGATACATTGCCAGTCTATTGGGGCCATGATTGCCCATCGCTTCAACATGGTTTTATTTATTTCCCAGTTTAATTTCCATCCTACTTACACAGTTTTACCATTAAAAACAACTACAATCTCTCACTATCCAGTAAAGCTGTAAACCTGACTACATTCCTAGTATTGATTGTTACCACTGCAAAACCCTGCACTTAAACTTTTGCTTAGACCAGTGTTTTCAGACTTTGCAAACGTGACACTTTTTTACATCGGACTGTCGTCTCCCACAAGGTCACAATTCATTTGATGCATTTTACTCTGTGCTGTTGAATAGCAGGGTAATGCGCTGCCTGTGCCACTCTTACACTGCTATATACATATACAACCACAGTATACCACACTGCAGTTACAGTATTAATCCCTATACTATCACCACAGAAAATCTGTATTGTTACAAATAATGTTTCATGTTAAAGTGAGTGTTGTGTGGCTCCTGTGTTTTTCCTCAAATTCTCAAAAAAACAATATTTAAAACTATGCCAGAAACTACAAATGTGTTTTTTAAGTCCTATACTTTTCGCCCACAGTTCTCTGTTTTCAACTATAAATCAATCCTAACAACATTCTGAAGGCGTGTAACTCTTATTGCCACTGTAACACTTCTTTGATCACTGCTTTTAACGCCCTTCAAGTCATCAAGCACACCCTGTAAGCACATTATCAATGCATGACAGCCGGATCAGAAAATATTATAATGTACTGTATAAACATGCATCATGAATCTGGTGTGAAAATGTCATCTGACTGTTACTTGAGTCTTGTGATTGTATTTATTTTCTTTTAAATATCCATCAACACATTAGAATAAGGACATCATAATATTGTGGAAGCCGAGAACAACCATGCTTGCAAATGTTTCTTTTTAATGTTGTTATTGGGCGATCACAAGTTAATTATATCAATATCTTGAGGCCAAGGCACACATTTGTTTACTACAGGTTGACCAACTCCCATCTCTGCTCAAATTAAGCCTATTATAACTAGAATTAACTTTTTGTTTTTTTGCGATAATAGGTTGATTATTTCGCTATCTGCAGATAACAAAGCTTGTTTTCACAAGATAACTAAATATATAATTTGTGATATTGAGATAACAACTATAAAAAACACTTCCAATAAGCAATAATGTATCTTTTTTTAAAATATAGGGTTTTATTCAACAAAGAAAAGGTCTGGCCGAGACAGCAAAATAAAACTATGACTATAAACACAATGAGGTTTTTAAGATGTTATCAGTGTTGTATTAACCACTGGAATCTGTGCATAACATTATTATATTAGGAATTGTATGTATTATAAGTTATGTTATATGTACTGGAGTTTAAGCAATAAATGAAGTCACCATATAAAGTCAAAGCAAAAGAGTAATTAAAATACAGATGCAGATTTACCTCCATGAACTTCTCATGTAGCTCCAAGTAAAGTTAGATTGTCATTGTAAGCACTATGTGTATTCATTAATTATGGTTTGTAATGGACATTTTCCATTTTCAGTTGAACCTCACAGAGAATAGATCGCTGTGAGGTATAAATAAATCAGTGCTGCATGGTGATCAATAAGGGCAGGCAGGAACAGCTTACTCTAATACTCATTGTTAATTCTTGACTCGTATTATAACAGACAAAACCTCTCCTGCACAAGTGACCATGGAAAACATTTCAGCACTGAGTCCATGCCGGCCCAGTTTCCATAACAACGTGGTGGGCAGCAAATGGCTTTGCTGCTACTATTTCCTCTCCTAGAGGGCCGCTCTGTGTGTGTGCGTGTGTGTGTGTGTGTGTGCGTGTGTGCATGTGTGCATGTGTGCATGTGTGGGTGGGTGGGTGGTCAGCTCTGCAGGAGAGGATGACCAAGTCTGATGTCTGAAATGTCAGAGGTGGATTCTGAAAAGTGAAAATGTCGGAGGAGCAGCCACACCCAAAGGCAGAGACAGTGCCCCCCCCCTTCACCCACACAAACAAAACAAACGTCCCCGCTGAGAGCAGAGACAGGGGGGAGTGTTAGATAATTAGAGGGGAAAGTTGGCAGCGTGCCCAATAAACAGTTGGAGGAGGCAGAGGGGGAGTCTGGTCTCTGGACAGGAAGGGCACGGTCCTGGCATCCAGGAACAGATGTAGGACAAGTAGTGAGATCAGCAATATGCGTGGATTCTCTAATCTGCTGCTCCTCCTGAAGACATACTGGAACTGCCTATTACATTAGATTAGATTATTGGTTCTGTTTAGTTTACACCGCAGTTTGTCAGTCTGAAGTCAATTTAGTATTTGCTTGATTTTGCAAGAAAACAGATCCAGACCTGTAAGAAACTGAAATCAGTCAGCATGTATCATGAAGCTTGTGCAAATGTAAAAGGAAAAAGATAGAATAGAAACACTGTTCACTTTAGTCTTCTTCCCTCTTTCACTTTTTAAGGGTCCTTGGGCAAAACTTAAAGTGTCGACACTTTGGTTTTGGACCTGCAATAACTAATGACATTAATTAGCTAATGTTAGCATGCTAACCTGCTTAACTAAGACTAAGATTTTTTTTCGGGGCAACTGTAACATCTCAAACTGCACCAATCAGAAACGAGACACAACCATGGACTTCTGCACATGCTGAGTGAAAACTATTTTTATATTGATATAATCATATGATTAATATTACTGTTTTTATTAAATTGGAAATAATTGTTTAGTGGATTCAATAGATCCATATTCTGATATGCTAGAATGCTAGTTACAAATGTTACAATGTAACATTTAACTTGTAGCGTATCAATCAATATTGTGATCCTAACATTACCTATAGAAACATTTGATGGCTGTTAACACATTATTATATCTAAATAGTTCAAGAGGTTTCAATCAATCAAAACCAAAAACTGTTACAACTGCCCCCGGTCTCTTCTACATGGTGCCCGCAGGCTCTGCTGTCAATCCCACTCACAGTTTTAGAAGTTAAAGGAGTGTTTCTAATATATACCCAGAAAATATTTCTTTCAATAACATAAAATATATGAATTAACTCATCACTTTAACTGCAAAAAGGGTGACAAAAGGGATCTGAGTGGGACTTTAACCCACATTGTGGAAGATGGAAACAAGCAGAAGAAAAGACAAACAGAACAAAC